GTGCCCTTATTGTAATATGGTTCCTGGGCTACCAAGGAAGGTTTGGAGGGGCGGGGGCAGGAAGAACTTCGACTCCGCCTTGAACCACTGCGGCCGCTCCTGCGCTGCAGGCTACCCCTGCACCCAGGACTGCATGCACCAGAAGGGCCCCTTGGCAAAAGAAGGCGTGTGCAGCTATCCACCCACCCTACTGTCATTAAGTTACGGCCGCTTCTCCCAGCTTAATATAGGTCGGAATAACTACAAATATTATTCCCTCATGGTCCTTGTTGTATCAGTTTTTTCCTTCCTTTTCAGGCTACTCCACCGGATGCGCTGGCTGTATGGCCGCACTGGTGGGTTGCTCTCGCGATCACTGCATCAACCAGTGCCGTGGTGCGAAGAGCGTTGAGCGTTGGGGGGTTTACGAAAATAAGGTACCCTAATATAGTCCCCAAATAGTAGGATTCCCTGTGTAAAATACGGACCCCAATATAAGGCACCCCTATTTTCGTAATCCCCCAAATGGTCCTATGCACATGTGTAGTCGTCAGCGTGATACCACTAGAGTAGGGTCTTGGGACATTTTATATGTCCCCGGGTGGGTTTAAGAGGACAATATTTAGGAATATTTTTTCAGAGGGTTTTAAGGGCCATCCTAGAACCCACTTGTAGATCAACAGGTGCATCAGCAGCGATAGCAGCCCTGCCTGCACCGGCTGCGTCAAGAAGCAGTGCCGTCCCAAGATGTAGCTCGGCGGCACCGGTGGCTTCTCATGCGCTGAAGTGTGGATGGGTTGCGCAGGGTGCTTTCGGTGGGCATGCACGGGGCATAGTCAGACTTGTGTCGCCCACCGAAGCACCCAGACAGTGTCCTGCGAGCTCGTTTGAAAGCAAAGGTGCATGTGGGAAAGACGGTATCTGGGAGGGCGGCATCATGGGGCCATCTGGGAGAGGGGCATGTTTTTTTGGAGGGGTGCATGTGGGAAGGGGGCATTTGGGAGTGGGGCATCTAGGATGGGGGCATCTGGGGAGGGGGTCAGCGAAAGGTTGAGAAAAGGATGCTCCCGCAGCTTTTCTGCGTCCTCTGGTCGCCCCAAGGCCCATGCCACCAAACCCTAAACCCTGAACCGCAAACCCTAAACCTTGAACCCTGAACCCTAAACCCGAAACCCTAAACCCTAAACCCTAAACCCCGGCTTTGAGGAAGCACTGCAGTGGCTTCAACGTCGGCGGCCACTAGGCCAGCCAGGCGGAGGGGACGCCGCAGGCGGAGCAGAAAAGCCGATGCCGGGCTGCTTGAAGGGTTTTGTAGGTCTTTAGGTTTAGGGTCTAGGGTCTAGGGTCTAGGGTTTAGGGTTTAGGGTTTAGGGTTTAGGGTTTCGGGTTTCGGATTTCGGGTTTCGGGTTTCGGGTTTAGAGCTGAAGGGCTACGGTTTAGGGTTTGGAGCTACGGTGGGTTTATGGGTTTGGGGCTCATGGGGCTCCGCCAGGAGACCCCATACCCTTGGTCCTTAGGGCTCCCGTATTTCAGACGATCCCCCAAAATTCAAATTTTACGGGGGGAATGTTTTGTTTTTTCAGATGGTTGGAGAAGGGCCCCAGCCCATAGATGACTTGAAGGGTTAGCCGCCGTGGAACCAGACCCGCCACAAATCCCTACCATGAACCTACCAACTCTCGAGGGGTTTAGGGTTTAGGGTTTCGGGTTTAGGGTTATCGAGTTCTCGCACCCAGGCCTGATGTATAGACCAAAGCCGTAGATTGAATGGACGCCCCAGATATCGGACATGTGAAGCCCTGCAAGATTGTTCTTGCTTAAGGCTGTTACTCACAGTGGGTACCCTAGCACCAAAAGCCTTATAACCCCCAACATACCCCTAAACCCAAAACTCCAAAAACCCCAAAGCCCTTAACCCCCAAAACGCTTAACCCCCCCAAAAAAAAAAAACAAAACAATCCCTCAAACCCTTACAATGCCCAGCATACCCTAACCCTAAACCCTAAACCTTAAACCCAGAACCCTAAGCCCCATTTTTACGATCGTGCCAAGGCCTCCCAAGCCCGAGGATGCGCAGCCGAGGCCAAAACTGAGTTGTAGAGAACTTCTGACAGGTTTACTATAGGGGCCTCAATCGTTAGAATAGGGTTTTGGGGGTTCTTGTCGTATAATTCTAACAGGACCAGAAGGGAATACTATTCCAACCCCTAAAGTAGCTGTTTAGGAGGTGTATGTTTAGGCTTCTGGGGCAAGTGTGGGTGCACTTCTGTTGGGTTTTATAGGTTGTAAGTTAGGTTGGTCGTGTTTCGAGGGCTTACAAGACTGATTGACGGCCCGGTTCAGGATTCATGCAAACGAGCCTTAGGCAGAGCGGATGCTGCGCAATCTTTGATTCCAGACATGATCACTATCGCCTTCAGTCTTCATTGAGCAGACAGATGGCCATACATGTAGCACATGCAGGCAAACGCACGGCCAGGCAGACAGGTACATACATATATATATATATATATGTATATGTATATGTATATACATTGAATGTACATAGGTGCCTACGTGCGTGGGTATCAGAAGGAAGGGTTCGGAAGGGTACCAAGAGACTTGTGCAGTCGCCACCGTGGCTACGGTGTTTGCTGCTTTTGTCTGCTCAGGCCACCAGCTCTGGATCCGCATGCTTCGGCAAGGACCGCCTGCCTCAAACTCCGAAACTCGTAGGCCGTGCAGTGCTGAGCCCACGCTACACGCACCTAGACCAGACCTGTGCAGCCACGACATGACTCACAGTATATTGGCTCCCCGAAACCCTAAACCCTAAGCCCTCAACCCTGAACCCTAAACCCTCAACCTTCATCTAATCCAACACAGTCGCCGATCCCAAAGCTTTCATCTACCCTTAGCAGGACTTACACGATTGCAGGGTAGTTGGGGTGGACGGGGGGGGTGTTTAGGGTTTAGGGTTTTGGGTTTGGGTTTTTGGTTTTTGGATTTAGGGTTTGGGGGGCTCCTTGCTGAGCTTTTCGCTGTCGCATTCTGGTACGGCCTAGAGGTCTGGTACTTCAGTTTATAAGCTCGCGCGAGGGGCCGTGATTGGTGACCCCCTCAAAACGACGAACGCCGAGAAGAACGAGAAAGTCAACCCTTAAACCCCTACATTGCTCCCCTGAAGCTCCAGAACCCACGGTGACCACCACCCAATCCCTGAAACCCCATGAATCCTAAACTAAACAGTTACACTGACACCCTGAATGAGGCCCCCTTCGCCCCCTCCAAAAAGGCAAGAAATCATAGTTACTAAGACCGCATCCCTCTTTGAAGGGAGATGAGCCAAAGCACCCAAGCCAACGAGCTCCGCCTGCGGCTCAAGCAAGCATGTTTGGGGCTTATGATGAGGCGGTACTGAGCCCAACCCCTAAAGACTGCCCTGTTTAGGGTTGAGGGTTGAGGGTTGAGGGTTGAGGGTTGAGGGTTGAGGGTTGAGGGTTGAGGGTTGAGGGTTGAGGGTCTACATCCTGAACCCCGGTTTGGGGGGGGCTTTTGCATGGCTGCTGCCTTAGGGCACGGGGTCCTGGCCCTTGGCATGGCAGTGTCTATAAGGGTTTAGGGTTTGTTTAGGGTTTAGGGTTTAGGGTTTAGGGTTTAGGGTTTAGGGTTTAGGGTTTAGGGTTTAGGGTTTAGGGCTTCGGGTGTCGGGCATTCCATGCATTCCCGACCTCAGACCGAATTGAGAGGAATTCATCGTCCTGAAAACGTTGCGTAGCTGAAAACTCAACGCCCAACTGCCCTGCACCGCGAACGCCGAGAACTCTTGACCGACGACCTCACCCAACCCTAAACCCTGAACCCTAAACCCGAAACCCGAATTAGACCCTCCAAGGCACGTCGCAGTCGGCCCCTGCTTTGGAGACGAAGAAGGATGCAGGCAGGTTGGGCAGACAGAGACACAGAGCTACCGAGACCTACATGTTTCAGACGCCATTCGGGTTTAGGGTCTAGGATTTTAGGGGCCTTTCAGTTTAGGGTTTAGGGTTTTAGATCTACGGGCCTTTCAACACGAAAGCCTAAACTTACGGACAGCAGCCATCTTCGGACCTCATCGGCTTGCCAGAAGCCTGGTTAAACATCAGCCCCCCCTATGCCCAACCCTAAACCCCAAACCCTATAGACCCTAGACCCTAAACCCTAAACCCTAAACCCTAAACCCTAAACCCAATAGATGTGACGACTACGGGATCTAACTTAATTGGTTTCTTCGCATGTTTTGTACCCATCCTGCAGGGACAGACACTTGTATGAGAGCAGGGAGAGACAGAGAGAGAGAGAGAGAGAGACAGAGACAGAGAGGGGGGTTCAAGCCCCGTAGAAGAAGAAGAGGAAGAAGAAGAAGAAGAGGAAGAGGAGGAGGACGAGGAAGAGGAGGAGGAAGAGGAAGAGGAAGAGGAAGAGGAAGAGGAAGAAGAAGAAGAAGCAGAAGAAGAAGAAGAAGAAGCAGAAGAAGAAGAAGAAGAAGAGAGAAACTCTAAACCCGAAGCCGCTTGGATTGCGGCCACCTCTCCGGGTTGCTTCCAGCTGAGCCATTTCGTCCTTTGTGGCAGAACAGTCCGACGCCTCGAAATTTAGGACTTCACATTTACACTCCGTGCGTGCACACGCTTCCTGGGTTTTTAGAGCTTACTGTTCTGCGTTGTGAATGTACTTGTTCCATGCATGCCTGGTTGCATCCACACGCATTGTCGTCTTATGTTTATGTACTTCGTTTGAGCGTTCCCACCATGATTGGCAGCGATCCGATCTACAGGCGCACCCCTTGCTGCACAACACCAAGAATCAACGTAGGAAGACATCGGATTTTCTCAATCTCAGAGAGACCCCTAAAGCCCCAAACCCTAAATCAGAGGGAGTTGATAAACATTAAACATGAATTTCTTAGCTGAGGGATCAGTAGGGTGTCTGCCTTAAATGACTCTAAACCCTAAACCGAACCCTGAACACTAAAATGGGAGGCAAGAACTACGCCGGCGTCATGCGAAATGGAAAGCCCAAGCCCCGGCGTCGACGGCTCCTGTCGTTCAGCTTAGGGTTTAGGGCTTACAGGGTTTAGGGTTTCGGGCTTCTAGGCTACTTCTAGGGGTCAGGGTTTAGGGTTTAGGGTTTGGGTTTGGGGGGAATATAAGGTGATAGGGTTTCGGCTTATCGGAATCTGCAAGGCCTAGGGGTCTTTGCCCGTGGCACCTGGTTTTGCTGCGCGCCTGAATTGAGAGGACTCAGCTCGGGGCAGCTGAGGTTCGAGAGAAAGAAGGTGGACACGGTGGAGGCGGCTGGGTCGTTGAGAAAAATCGGCCTGATTATCAATGGCCACGACTTAAGAGTCATAAGAGCAGGTGCTGGGGCCTAACGGTTCGGGGCAGGCCACAACCTTCTATGGCCCCCCGGTAAGTCAATGCAACTTGGGGTACCTTCTTGGGGGCCCTGAGTACATGGAAAGCCTACTAGTTGGGGTCTATATTGGGGCTCCCTGATCTTCGTAAACACCCATGTCACCCTAAACCCTAAACCCTAAACCCTAAACCCTAAACCCTAAACCCTAAACCGTGGCTCAATTTCTAGACTGCAGCTGTGGAGAAAGCACCTTGAGCGCATGATCTTGGGAAGGCTCTGAGCAAAGAGGAGAGGGAGGCCATCTTGGCCGACATGGAGCAAGAGAAGCAAAAGAAGATGCAGGACTGGGGCGAAACCCTTAGGGTTTAGGGTTTAGGGTTTAGGGTTTAGGGTTTAGGGTTTAGGGTTTAGGGTTTAGGGTTTAGGGGGCACCTTATTGGGGTTTTCATTATAAGGGGATGCTACTATTTGGGGGGGGGGTCTATATTCGGGGTCCCTTATTATCGCAAACTCACTTCAGGTTTAGGCATTTGCGTTTCGACTGGGCTTCGGTGACGGGCACCGTAGGATTCTCATTGCAGTGCAAGGGGGCAAGCCGCCAAGGGCCTGAGTAGGTGCCGCTTGAGACGCGTTGGCACTCTAGCGCAACTGAAAGGGTTCAGAACTTCGGAGTACCGTCAAAGCCCTAAATTCCTAAGAGCCTCATAAACTCTAGTGTTCGAGGGCTGCAGGGTTCAGAACTGAAGCGCGCTTGCAGCTTGCGGCGGGGGCTGTGGAGGGTGGCGTCTACGCATTAATTTGCAGCTGGCACCCCGAACGTCGGTCTTGGGGAACCTGGGGTGTGACATGGAGCAGGTTTATGTTTTACTGTTTTTGGTGAGTGTATATAATGTTCCTTTTTAATATTGGTGAGTGCATACATTGGGTGTCCTTCTCTGGGTACAAGAAATATAAACCCTACTTCACATGATTTCACATTCTGATTACAATCTGTAGTTGCTTTTAGTAGTTGCTGATTATTCTCTCTTACTGACTCTTACTGTGATTAGTAAAGCTGTCCTTGTCATTTTTCAGTTTATTTATGCGGTCGCGCATTGCAGAGCAGCTCCTGTGACAGGCGATAACAGAGAAGATGAAGCAGCAAGTAAAGAGGACCTTTCCCGGCATTCCGGGATGACGATTGTTGCGAATTCGAGGGTCGCAGGGTGGAGGGGTAGTTGGGTTTACCCTGAACCCTAAACCCTAAACCCAAACCCTAAACCCTAGGGTGCGGACCTGAGCGGTCGTGCCTGCAAAACGTCGCTCGAGCTAGGCACCGTGGCTCTCAGCTGAATGAGGCGACGGGAGGCCGAGCAGTAAGAAACCTATGTGACCAGGGTTTAGGGTTTAGGGTTTAGGGTTTAGGGTTTAGGGTTATGCCCATTGGGCCTTGGTAGCCCAGTGGTACCTTTCACCCCTTTTTTTTGGTTTCGGGTTCCCTTACAAAGTAACCAACCCCAAAAGAGGGTGCCCCTGTTATGATAGGGTTACTGGTCTACCCGGGAGCTTATGACGTACTTTTACTCGGAGCTTGCTTCCAACTGCCTTGCGGAGGCCATTTCGCACTTATTGCGTCAACATATCTGCAACGGGGACAGGTCTATAGCCTCAGCGTAAACCCTAAACCCTAAACCCTAAACCCTAACCCCTAAACCCTAAGCCCTAAACCCTAAACCCTAAACCCTAAACCCTAAACCCTAAACCCTAAACCCTAAACCTTAACAGATTCAGGAAGAAGAAGCAGCAGGAGGATGTGGAAGCCAAGAAGAGGCGCCGATAGCGCGAATGAAACCCACTGCTGTTGCCCAGGGGTAACTCTCTTGCTGCCTTCTCCTTCAGCCCCACATCCCCCCAACAAAAGAACAACAACACAAACAGCAATAATGCCGATCTTACCTAGACCCAGAACTCAAGAATCTAGGTTAAGCCACCAAACCTTTCCAAGCCCCCCCAAAGCCAAATCTTGGGACATGAAAGCCCAACCTTCCCAAACCCTAAACGCAAAGCCCTGCCAAGACTACAAGCCTTTAAAACAAATCCCTCAGCCCTATAAACCCTATAAACCCTACGAAACATATGAACCCTAAAAAGACCTGTAAACCCCAAGCCCCAAAGTAGAAGCCAAAAAGTTGGAAACTCAATAGCCTCAATCCCTAAGAGTAAAGTATAGGGAATCCCAGCACTATTTGTCCTTAAAAGGGTTTCCAAGTTTTGGGGGTTTTACTGTACCACAAGCCCATCCAGAGACCCTGCAAGGGCCCAGATGGAGGAGGTCGAGGCCCTCGAAGAGGAGAGGAGGCGGCAGAAGGTGCCTTGGGCCTGCCTTCAGGGTTTAGGGTTTAGGGTTTGGGGTTTAGGGTTAGGGCCTGCCTTCAGGGGTCGGGTTTGGGGGGTCTGGGGGGGTTTCGGGAATTTTGGGGGTGTAGGGGGGTTTGGGGGTTGTTGGGGTGGGGGGGTATTTGGGAGGTTCGGGGGCTTTGGGAGGTTTGCGGGATTTAGGGGTTTGGGGGTTTTGGGGGTTTTGGGGGTTTTGGGGGGTTTTTGGGGTTTACTTGTTTGGGGGTGTTCAGGGGTTTAGGGGGTTGGCGGGGTTTGGAAAGTTTGGAGGGGTTGGGGGCTTTGGGGGATCTTTGGGTTTTGGGGGTTTCGGTGAGGTCTTGCCTGCGTGTGCTGCCTTTTTTTCCTGCTCCCCACCATGGCTTGGTAACCCAGTGGTTAAACCCTAAACCCTAAACCCTAAACCCTAAACCCTAAACCCTTTTTTTGGTTCTGGGTTTCCTTAATTATATTTTTTGTTCTGGGTTTCTGTAACTATAAAGTAACCACCGAAAAAAGGGTGACATTAATAACATGTGGTTACTGGGCTACCAAGATGGCTGCGTGATCTTCGGGGTGGTGTCTTGGCTTGCTTCCTCTCTTTGAGCGTGAAGGGATGCACAGGGCCCCTGGTTCTTAGTAGGGAATGAGCGAATTAGTAGGGGCCCTATATAGACCCTTTAAGGGATGCCGTAGGGTACCTCTATGTATATACCCTTTAAGGGACTAGATAGGGTACCTCCATGTGTTCCCTTTAAGGGATTCTACAGGGTACCTCATTCCCTCATTCCCGGCGAAGAACCAACCGGCAGGTGAAAGAGCTCAAGAACTGGCTGCGACAGCAAGGGCCCCAGGGATGACTGGCCTCCACTTGCCCTTAGAGCTTTCGGTGTCCGAAGCAGCCCTAAGCCCTAAGCCCAAAACCCTGAACCCCTATCAACCCTACAGCCCTAAACCCGAAACCCTAAACCCTAAGCCCTAAGCCCTAGCCCTAAACCCTGGTATCAACCTTGTGGGCTCCGCATCTTCCGGCAAGACCCCATACTCGCCACTCCGCCTTCGGTGTGTTCTAAGGAAAGAGGAGCAGGATCGTGCAAAGAAGGCCGCATTCGATGCAGGGGGGGGGGGGGGGTTAGGGTTTAGGGTTTGGGGTTTCGGGTTTACGGTTTAGGGTTTGGGGTTTACGTTGGCTCTGGTTCTCAATGTGCGCGAATCTAAACGCGAATCAGACAATCTTGCTGAGAAGTAGGGAGTTAGGGCGTTGGGAGCTGAGAGTTCGAGGCCGCGTCGTACCTCTAGAGTAGATACTTGAGCCCTAAAGGGGTTCCTATGTAGTAGCTTTAGGGCGCTAAAGTATAGAAAATTAGATTCTTGGCTGCTGCAATCATGATCAGATCGCGCACTCCTCAGTCCCACCCTCCACGGCGACACTATCTCAAGCAGCCGTCCCCAAAGCCACCGCTGCAGAGATGGCAGTTTTGTCCTAAACCCTAAACCCTGAACCCTGAACCCTGAACCCTAAACCCTAAACCGCAAACCCTGCCAAACCCGTAATAAGAGTTGCTTGCGCCCCTTCCTTGCGAGGAGAGGGACGCCGCAATGGTGTTGGAGATGCAGGAGAAGGACCCCAGCATTGTCTAGGCGACTAGGCCCTTGGTGTAATTTCTACTGCTCGTTTTTTGGGTTAAGCCTAAACCCTAAACCCTAAACCCTAAACCCATATTTGGAACATGTTCCAGAGGGTTTTTTTACGGGGTCACTCCGAGTTATGAGGACTCTTGAGATGGAGGTTGAGCTTTGGGGTTCGGGGTCTAGGGAGTTGGGAGTTCAGGATGTAGGGAGTTCAGGATGTAGGGAGTTCAAGGTTTAGTGAGTTTAGGGTTTAGGGAAATTCAGGGTTTAGGGAGTTTAGGGTTGTGGGAGTTTAGGGTTTAGGGGTGGGGGCAGTAGGCGGTGGTGCTTTGAAAGCAGAGTTGCTGGGTGGTGAGGTTGAGCACTCACTTCAAACTCGAGAGTTTGGGGGTTTGGGGGGTTTAGTCTTATATATGCAACTTTAGTCTTTGTTTTCATGTATTTCTCATGCAGTCTAGTCCATGATGAGGTAAAGTAGGGGAGTGCACAGCAGAGCGGGCGCTCACAAAGAACCCCTGGCCCGGACTTCAATGACTCAGGCAAGAAAGCCAACGCTGCACTCTCACCATGTATTTATCAAGTTTATCAGATCATCTAGGACCGGGAGTAGGCACTTTTTTCCTTTTTAGGGTTCCCTTATAATCATCTTAAAACCAAAAAGGGCACCCTTTTTCTTCCTAGGTTACTCCCGGGTCTAGTGATATAGTAGGCTATCTTCAGGGCTTAGAGCACAGGGCCTGGTCAAGGCTCGGAGAATTGGGGTTTGCAGTCTTGCATTACTGACTTGCAGCCATAGCGGTGGAGGAGAAGTTTAGCACACAAGCCGAAAGAAATTGAGTACGCAAAGGGCGCCGAAAAACTCTTCTCCTCAGGCCTCCATCATGCTCAATTGAACCCGACGCCTGCAAGCCTAAAAACTCAACATAAGCCCTGAACCCTGCAAACCCTATAACAACTCTTCTTTCAGGAGTCCTTAATCGGGGTTATACTCGGGGGTACTCTAATCTCTATTCCCTAATGAGGACTGCTAGTATATCCCAACCCCAAACCCTAAACCCTCAACACCCTACTAAGGGCAGTTAGTATGACGGGGGAACATCTCAGCCCCAAACCCCTGCAAATCCCCCTTCTTGGAGGTTCATGGTACTTATGAACCAATCAAAGCTGTACTTCTAACCCACTTAGAAACCCCTTAAGTGCCCTAACGTGCCTTCCAGGAGGTAAACCCTAAACCCTAAACCCTACACCCTAAACCCTAAACCCTTTCAGGAGGTGCAGAAGGTCGAGCAGGCGAAGGTACTTGAGCAGCAGAGGCCTGCCTTTGAGAGAACATGGGGGTTTAGGGTTTAGGGTTGGCCTTTTTTTGGCGGGTGGGGCCTATTACTTGCAGTCGGGAGCCTGAGAGAAGTAGGTTAACCCCCAACAAACACCCAGAAGTTTGGGAACTTACCGCTTCTTCAATCTTGCGATTGCTCCTTTGTGGTCCTTGTTGATCAAAGGTTCCATTGTAAAACATGCCTTTATAAGGGGGCACGAATGAGCAAGCCCTTGGTTTATAGAGCTGAAGATGGCCAACAGCAAGGGCTACGTAGGGCTTTAAGGCTTAGCTGGGAGTTTTTTTTTTTTGGGGGGGGGGGGGTTTGGGCTGACTTTGTGATTGTTTTGAAAACTTCCGCAGTTTGCGGCTTTCGAGGCTGTTTGTCGTGTTCTGTGAGGCTACAGGTTCGAAGCTTCGGGCACGGTGGTCCAAAGATCAGGGTTGCCAGAAGCTGGGCTTTCAGGCTTTCCGGAGGGTTTCGGGCTCAAGAGACACCCTAAACCGTAAACCCTAAACCCTAAACCCTAAACCCTAAACCCTAAACCCTAAACCCTAAACCCTAAACCCTAAACCCTAAACCCTAAACCTAAACCCTAAACCCTAAACCCTAAACCGTGATTTAAGAATCAAGTCTAGGCCAGTTTGAGGCAAGAGCAGCGGGATCGTCGGCTCCAGGCAGTTGCCAAGCAGAAGGCACGCTCCTCCGTTGCTATGAAGAGCTACCAACCTAGACCCCAAGTAAAACCCTAAACCCTAAACCCTCAACCCTCAACCCTAAACCCTAAACCCTAACCCTAAACCCTAAACCCTAAATCCCATCTAAAATGCCCTTATATGCTACATGTTATACACCAGAACTCTATACAATAGCACAGCCATTTGTCTATCTGCCTATGATGTCTTTACCACCTATGTATATGGTTCAGAAACCAAGTACCACCCTAAACCCCAAACCCTAAACCCTAAACCCTAAACCTTAACCCCTAAACCCTAAACCCTAAACCTTTTAGCGGGCGATCATCTCAGCCTTAGCACTTGGGGCTTGGTGTCCGTAACTTGGTAGCCCAGTGGTGCCCTTTGCCCATTTTTTTTGTTTCTGGGTTCCCTTATATAAAGTAGCCAACCAAAAAATGGGTGCCCTTATTAGAATATGGTTACTGGGCTACTAAGGTAACTATAGGGATCACTACAGGGTTCTCCCGAGGATTTTTTGCGTTTTTTGCCCTGATCTTCAGGCGAAGCTTGAAGCGCAGTTGAGAGCCTCCCGTGAGGCCGGGCTGGGATTTTGGCAGGGGTGGGCCCTTAGGGTTTCAGGATCTGGGTTCAGGGTTTAGGATTTAGGGTTTAGGGTTTAGGGTTTAGGGTTTAGGGTTTAGGGTTTAAGGAGGTTTAGAGTTTAGAGTTCTCACAAAGCTTTACGGCCCAGGTTCCGGGAAATCTTGGGATCCAAGGCATAATTCTTATCGGGATGGGGTTTAGGGTTTGGGGCTTATAGCTTAGGGTTTAGGGTTTAGGGCCAAGTTTAGGGTTTTGGGTTTGAGGTTCAATTTACTTCCGGATGGCGATTCTAAGGCCGATGTGCGGCAAGCATCAAGTGATCCAAGTTGAAAGTTCTTGGTGTGGGGTTTAGAGGCTATCTGGCGCATATACAGCTATATATATATATATATACGTATGTAATGTAATGTAATGTAATGTAAGGTAAGGTAAGGTAATGTAATGTAATGTAATGTATATTATGATATATATATATATAGATATAGGTATGTATATATATATATATATGTATGCATATCTATATATATATATATATATATCTTTGTTTATATATCTGTATTTCTATTCTATTTACACCCCATGTTTTGCGGCCTGGTAGTCTGAGGATCCAGGTACCCTAACCGACAGTGATTATCCTTGCTGGCGCATGAACTCACGTCACCTGATCACAATACCTGATACCCTGCAGGTCTCGTAGGCAGTTCGCTAAGGTATGGTCCTTTGCGGATACTTTGGAACATGAGGCTGTTTGTAGGACAAGAAGGAACAATTCTGCGAGGGCTGTCCTCTTGAGAGGGCTGTTCTCTTGGGTCTTTTCAGCACAGCAAAGGACACCTTTCGTGATACGGGTGAAGGAAGCCTGTTTTTCCAGGCCGCGCAACAGGAGAAGCTCAATGCATCCCAAAGGGAGCAGCCAGAGGACGCGCATCAGGACCTGCTGTGATCCCTAAACCCCGATAAATCCCGAAATCCTAGCCCTTGAGCCCCTATAAGGCCTAAATGCTACACCCAGAACTCCAGAGAGTGTTGCAGAGTTCGTGGACCGAGCCGCCATCATATAAGTAGTAGGAGATGTGCGAGTAGACGCACGGTAAGAGTCCATGGTGCCTCAGCGTTCCTCTTGGAAAATTGGTGGTGCCCTTTTGCCCTTTTTTGGGGGTTGTTGGGCTTTTATGCAAGTAAGCTACACCAAATAGAGGCACCCTTAACTGTAATACGGTTGCTCTGCTACCAAGTACATGGACCCCGAAGTCAGCTTCAAAGCCCCAAGTGTTCTCTGCTTATGTACATGGACCCTGACAGGGAATCAGGGCACAACTTGTGACATGCAAACGCGCAAGCTTTTTGATGTGCAGCTATATGGCAAGGGCCCTGAATTCTGCTAGAAGCACTCCACCCCATGCATCCAGCTCAGACCTGCACGCCAGATTCGATCCCTAAGCTAGAAATCCCAAGCCCTGCTTAAAGCAACGAATTGCAAGGGCCACCTTCCGCGTAAGAGAGATGCGAAGCAGGATTCCACGGCAACCCTGGATGAGGATCCCCGCATGCGAAAGCAGCAGTCGCTCGGCATCACGCTAACTTGCGCTCGGCATCAGGCTAACTTAGGGCTGCAATAAATGAGTCAATAGACATGACAGCACATGTGCTTATATGAATAAATACATAAACAAACAAGCAACGCATAGAGAAGGAAATTAACCCAACACATACATATTCATGCATTTGCTTTCTTATTTAGCTTTGTTGAAAGGGGGCTTGCCTTGCACCATGAAGCCCTTGCCAGCTGCGCCCTGGAACCCGAAACCTCGAAAGCCCGAAGAAAGCCAACGTTCCAAGAAGCGCCTAGGGTTTCGGGTCTTAGGGCTTTCGGGGCTGAAGGTTTTTAGGGTTTAGGGTTTAGGGTTTAGGGTCGTGAGGATACAAGACTTGGGGGTCTGAGGGCTCTGGGGGTTGACGATTGCTAGTAGTGAGCGGATTCTCATTTTTAACTAGGGGTGTGCATTTTTTGGGATTGAGGTTTTTTGGGGTTTAGGCTTTTCGTTATTTTAGAGGGTTTGTGCAAGTCGTACTGAACCCTGAGCTCTGAAGCCCCTAAATCCTAAACCCTAAGCCGCAACCCTAAACCCTAAACAAAGAATAAGCTCACCTTAGGATTCACCTGCAGAAGCAGATGGGCAAGGAGCAGTCGGCATACCCCGGCATGGGCGTGTCCCAGGCCTCCCCTCTTTTCTTGGGCGATGGGCTGGGATGTTCCCCCTTCTGCTGACAGTCCCTAGCAGCCCTAGCCGGGATTCTAGTAGGGGGTACTCACTTCCCTAGTAAGGACTGTTAGAAAACAGGGGAGCATCCCAAGCGATTGGTTTTAAAGTTGTTTTTTGTGTTGAGGCTTTAGGGCTTGGCGGTCTGCAGCGCTGAAAGGGTAAGACTTTCTGCTTGTGCCTGTGCAGGCTTGATTCCAGTCCAGATGTGCGCAGTTTAGGTCGCTGCCCGTGGGGTATAGGATTTACAAGATTTGCAGAGTTCCGCAGTCTTACCCTAAAGCCTACTAAGCACTCAGCCTGAAACCCTAATACTGCACCTACTGAACCTACCAAGCGTGAACCCTCAACCCTTAGTGAACCTCTCTCACATCAGAGACTCCCTTGTGACTCCCAAAGTTGCACTGGTCCCCTAAACCCTAAACCCTGCAGAGCAGATGCCATACGTGAATTTCTCCCAACATCGTGGTACCCTAATACACCGGCAGGCCGCTCTGGTCCTTTTACGCCTTAACCATCATAATCAAAAAGAGCACCCCTACTGGTATTTGTGGAAACCCCCATCAATCTCAGAAGCCTAAAGGCTTGTACGCTTTGTTCATGTTCTCCATGCCTTCGAACCACCCTCTTACTCCGCTCATTTGCCTTGCGCGCTATTTCCCGAAACTCTAAACCCTTAACCCCAGATCCCGCCCAAAGTAAGAGCGGCACGGATCTCAAGCTGTAGAGACTGCCCTAAACCCTAAACTCAAAACCCGGAAGGCTAAGCCTAAACCATAATCCTCCCGCTGTGCAGCGCGTGGTGCATCGCCACATCCATCACCACGTGCACTACCACGAGGTGCGCCCTCAACAAAAGGGTATAGGGTTTAGGGTCTAGGGTTTAGGGTTTCGGGTTTAGGCTAAGGGGCTTCGGGCCATCCGCACAAAGGCATTTCCCAAAGTAGGGTCATATTCATGCCAAACAAAAGCCTTATGGCATCGGTGTTGAGATATTACAAACCAACTTCTTGCGTCTGTATGAATCGGCAGCGCGTGAGAGGGTCCATGATTGACGGCGGCTCGTTGCCGCACTGTTCGTTAACGTTTGGGTCCACCCACTCGTGGACGATTCATGTGCAGCAGTGCAGTAGCATGCTTGTAACGCACACACTACATTGCTCTGAATCTGTATACTTCACTGGTTTAGGGTAGCATAGCACGCGCAAGCAAAATCCATACTATAGGAACCCCCTCCCTCCACACTTCAACCACGCAACCCCTCGGGGTTCATGTACCTGAATAGGGAATACGCCTTGCCTGGAAGAGCCCTAAACCCCAAACGGGTTTAGGCGTTTAGGGATTAGGGTTTAGGGTTAGAAATCTCGAATCCTTCGGCTCTTGTTCCCTGTGAGCTCTGAGGGCGAGGAGGACGCTCCGCTGCCCTCTGCCGAGGAGCAGAGGCTGGGACTCTTGCACTCCGCACGCGAAACTTGCTGGCCTGAACCCCCCAACTACCCTTTAGCCATAATAGTAGGGTTTAGGGTTTAGGGTTTAAGGTTTAGGGTAACTACCCTTTAGTACAGGGGGTTTATCTACCCTACTATTGTGGTTAAAGGGTAGTTGGGGGGTGGTGGGTTTCTTGGTAGCATGATTTCAGGTTTAGAGTCCAGAATTTAGAGTTTCGGTTTCTGGGTTTGGGATTTAGTCGTGAATTCCCTAGATTTCCCTTGAAGACAAAGCCCGTCTTCACGTACCGATGAGAAAAGGGAGAGGCACATCTCCAAATCTAGCGCCTTAAGTCAGTGGGGCCACAAGGAGCCGCACTTGATTATTGAGCCGGCGTCCATGTCTGTAAAGGCCAAGGTTCGCCCTGGCCAAAAGGCTTCGTAGCCCAGTGGTACCCTTTACTTTTTTTTTGGTTCTGGGTCCGGGTTCCCTTATAAAGTACCCAAGCAAAAAGAAGGGTTACTGGGCTACTAAGAAGGACTCTACACCTTTCTTAGCAGGGAACATGAGGGAATGAGATCCTCAGGGGCCCCTGAAAGATTTTATAACACCCATCAAAGCGCCTAAACCCTAAATCTAGACTATTAACCCTGAACCCTAGGCCTCGTGGCGGGCCGAAACTCTGCAAAGCCCCTTGCGATGCCGCGACTTCATGTCTGTACACGTTTCAGTGCTCCCAAAACGCATCACCCTATATACCCCAAGCCCTAAGGCCTTAAACCCAAGGGCCCAAACCCTAAACTCTGAACCCTAAACCAAGGGAGTTCGAAGGTTAGAGAGAGTTGTTCCTGGGCCAGGCGAATAGAGCAAGCTTCCGAAGACCGAGTGAAGAGGCAGCTGGAGGATCAGGCAGACACTTGCACCTTTGTAATTTACAAACCTCAAGCCCCAAGCCCCAAGCCCTAACCCGCAAGCCCCAAGCCCAAAACCCTAAACCCTAAACTACCCGAAACCCCCAACCCAAAACCCAAACCTTTGACCTCAAGCCTTCAAACCCCAAGCCCTGAAACCTAAACCCGAAGTCCTGAAACCCGAAGCCCGGAGTGTTTTTTAAAGCATTATACAGTAGAGGCTGCAGCCTGCCCGAAGCCTTGCGCATCCCGAAACGGCAGAGTTTGGGGTTTAGGGGTTTAGGGTGTAGGGGTTTAGGGTTTTGGGGGTTTAGGGGTTTAGGGTATATTAGGGGGTCAGGGGTCGGGGGGTTTAGGGGTTTAGGGGTTTAGGGTTTAGGGGGTTAGGGGTTTAGGGGTTTAGGGGTTTAGGGGTTCAGGGGTTCAGGGGGGCCAGGGCAATTGGGCCGGGCCTGTTTGTGTAGAAGATCAAAAGGCAAAAAGCGCCACCTCTACTCATGCCCCCAATACTCATGCCCCCAAGGTCACTTTTACTCCCCAGCACGCCCTCAGGCTCCCTGGGCTTCCGCAAGGTAATTGCCTACCCCCTCCCATGAACCCCCCCTGAAAAATGCTTTTCTTCTATAAGGCATAAAGGAATCCAGCCTTTTCAGGTTGAAGAAGGCAGGAAGACGTAAGACCTGCCTTATTTTTGGGGTGTGGAGGAGTGAAGCTTTAGGTCCTCTAGGGTTTGTAGGGTTTACAGGGTTTGCAGGGTTTATAGGGTTTACCCTGAACCCTAAACCCTAAACCCTAAACCCTAAACCCTATAAGGTTTATAGGTCGGCTTTATAGGGTTTCGGTGCGCATTGAACTCCGAACCAGCTCACAGACTCTGAAGCCCAAAGCCTGCATCCCCTCATCGCCCTTTAAGGGTGGGATGCAGCTAGCGGAGCTAATAGGGTCAGGGGCTTTCGGGCCCTTAGGCTCTTAGGGCCTTATAGGACTTAATCGGGGAGGTACTTGGGGCTTGAGGAGCCGTAAACCCTAAACCCTAAACCCTAATTCAGGGAGAGAGAAAGAGAGAGAGAGAGAGAGAGAGAGAGAGAGAGAGAGAGAAGCTGCTGAGCCGCAAGGGGCTGCCACCTGGATTCGAGTCTCGCGCTTAGCACGACCGACGGATGCGAGTCTCAGGTTGACCGTTTCAATCCTTGCGCTGGGGTGTTTAGGGTTTAGGGTTTAGGGTTTAAGGTTGAGGGTTGAGGGTTGAGGGTTCAGGGTTGGGATTTACCCCCTTATACTAACAGTCCTGAGTAGGGATTATATAGTTTAGGGTTTAGGTTTTAGGGATAGGGGGTGCTATA